GGGGGGGGGGGAGCGTTGTCAAATTTCTATAAAAATACGGGACCACAGACAGAGTCAGGCTGGAGGACCGCGTGGACCCGGGGTTCTGCAGACGCGCTAACCTGATGCCCGACGCGATCGGATCTCTGGGGACGCGCACGAATCACCCCGGCGATTCAGGCGCTGGGGCTGGAGTGTCCTCCTTTGCTCTGCATCTCTCTCTGGGTTTTCGTTGCTCGTTCCCATCTCAAGCGTTTCATCACCACGTGGGCATTTTGAACCCCAAATGTAAACGACAAGCAGGCACAAAGCCCCCACTTTCTTCCCGAGCTAAGCACGCCTCGAGGTGCTGGCCGTGGCCGCTGCTCCGCGGGCGGCTGGTAGCGCCCCCAGCTGGGGGCAGGGCCGCGCGAGGCTGAGGGCAGGACGCAGGGCACCTGTTCCAGAACGGCGTTTTGAAAGAAATCTCAACTCTTCATAAAGTGGAGACTGGTGTGGACACAGGGAGGAGGGATTTCCGCACCGTAACCGCGCTAACAGAGGCGCAGAGTCCAGAGCCCAACGTGAAGCCCCCACCCTCCGTTTTTTAGCCCTGGAATCGATGGTGGTATTTTCAGCATCATTCTTGCGGTCGTCTCCGCAAAATGGGGTAGGAGGGAAACGCTGGTTTGTCTGGGGGGGGGGGGGGGAGGGGTCAAAGACTTCTCCAGGCTTTGGGCCAGTGAGATCCAACTCTTTGCAGCTGTATTCAGACACGGCTCACCAATCGCAGCGTGGCGGTGAAGCCCGGAAACTCTTGCCCATCAGGGATGAACCCTGGCCTTAGAGAAGCAGCTAAGTGAGGTAGCTGAGTGGTACTGACGCATCCATCCATTCTACAGATGGGAAAATCCGGAGACCGTGCCTCTAGCAAGCCCACAGAAAAAAATGCGAAGTCTTTACAGCCCAGATCACCAGGGCTGGCGGCTCCTTAGCAGTAGCGGCGGCCGCGTGTCTCTAACCTTTTCCCTAAGCTGGATTCCGTACATCCGTGCATTTCCAGTAGGGACGTTGGGTTCTGCAGATTACAGACACCAGCCGTTTATACTGTGCGTACACAGACACACCCCAGCCCTCCCTCCTGGGGAGTGTTGTGGCCTCTGTTTATGTGGTTGTTTAGGAACTTTTCATTTGCATGGACGGCTTTAAAAGCAAAGTAATTCGCCTCCAAGTTGGGAAGGCACCAAATAAACAAATACAAAAATAAACCCTCGAGCTTGCTCCCAGTTTCTGGATAAGGCTGTGATAGAAAGATCTTGTGCTTTCAGGAGCATTATTTCTCAACCCGCGTGTTTCCCAGCTGGCTCTGCAGCCATCCGTTAAATATGTATTTAAAACACGAAGAACTGAAGCGTAGAGATATGTCGTCCAACGGTTATGGAGGATGACCTATAACCGTTGGATTAGGAAAATCTGTCGCTTGGGCGAACGCTGCGAGCGGGGGTGGGGAGCAGGAGAGCTAGAGTATTTAGAGGATCGTTCCTTTGGGCCTCCCTGACCACAGGCAATGAGCACGTTCCTGGGAATGTGAGCTGCGAGCCACTAGCCGAGGCGTGGACTGGTGCGCACGCCGTTCTGACAAACACCGGCAGGCGCCTGGTGCGCACGCCTGGGTTGCGGCCGCTGTTAGTCCAGACGGTGCACGTGTCCTGAAGGCCCTTTCCTTTTGTCGCTTGCCACCGGCGACTGTCCCCGCGGTTCTTTACGCGCCTGCTCCAGCTGAGGGGCCCACTCTGGCACCGTGCGTATTTAGAGCCTGGGAAGGCAGAGTCCAGAGGCAGGAGAGCTGACTTGTTGGCCAGGTTCCCGCGTGAACGCCCATATGGACGCTCCAGGCCCCGGCCCCGTGCCACCGAGCCAGGGCAGTGGTGGCTGTTCTGGGCAGTGCTCTGGCACCTCGCAGTCCTGACTCCCCACCCCCGAAGCGTGGGTCCAGGCTGTGGACCGCTTCTCTCGGCAGCACCCCCCAACATTCTGTGGTTGCCAGAAAGTTGCTCGGGAGGTAGGGGCAGTCTGTGCCCGCTCTATGCTACTTTAGTCCAGGGCCCAACAGTCGCCGCACCCCTCTCTCTGGGTCTCCGAGTCCTCCTACCCTCTCGGGGATCATAGAAAACAAGAGCCCGGCCCCTGGCGCATGCCCTCCTGCGTCCCGGGGGCCTCCTGGCGTTTGCTCTGCCTCTGAGCCCGGCGCGCCCGGTGTGCACGTCCTGGGTGGGTCCCGGGCAACGCAGCCCCCCTTCCCGAGAAATTGAGTGTTCACTTTGCGAAGCGAATCGGCCCGGCTCCGGGAGTTCCTGGCTGGCCCGGGCGTCCAGAAGCTGCCGGCCTCCTGCGTCAAAACGGAAGACGTGTTTTCGCCCCTCTCCTTTGTGCTTCCCTCCCACAAAAGGCCGGGTGAGCGTCGGGGCCGGCCTGCGCTCTGTCGCCGGGCGGGCCGGGAGGAGTGTGTGCCAAATCCGCCCGGGCGGGCTCGCAAGGGGCTCTAAGGGCTCAGACCTCCCACCGCTTCCCAGGTTCCTCCCGGGCCATTCTTTCGCGTTCTCGCCTTTCTCTTCACAAGTTCCTGCACATTTTCAGGCGGAGGCTGGGCCAGACTGCCAAGGAGAGCAGCGCCCGTGCTCAGGCTTGAGCCGGGACCGATGGGACGAGGCGAGGTTGCGAGCATCAGAAAAGAAAGGAAATAAAAAAGCAGTTCGGCAATCGCTCCAGGTCCGGAAACTAGAGGGATGCGGAATGGTAGCGTTTGGGGTCCGAAAGGGACCGATAAGACCCCCTGGTGAGAACTCTGCAAACAGATGACATCTGTCTTCCTTATAAAACTCAGACCCCAGAGCCTTCATCCCTGTCCAGGGACCCAGCACCGAGCAGTGGGCATGACTCGTGGGAGGTGCTTGGTAAATACTTCTGGATGCAGGTGCCTGCAGATGTGCACACGGGCTGGTGTGAAACACAATTGGTGAAACACATGTAATATTCCGTGCACACAGTAAATAAACCGTGAGGTCTATAATCTGGACTGTTGGAATGTGGGAGCCTTTAGAATGACAAGGATAGTGACTTTCATTTAATGGCCACCTAAAGGCAAGTTAAGTTGTGCCCGATGCTTAACGGACCTTGACAGACTTCATCTCATTTAATCTGTCACTAACCCTAGGAGGGTCATATACTTACTTTACTTACTCCCATTTCGCAGACTGGGAGACTGACACTCAAGAGTGGTGTGGGCATTTGTTCGAAGTCCTGGGAGCAGAGAAGCAGGTCCAGGGACACAGCATGATGGTGGGCCTCAGAGACTTAGACGTCTTGAGTTGTCTGTTTTCAGTCTCAGATTCTCATTCCAAAAATGGGTTTCTATAAGCTACTGTGACCTCAAGAGGTATGTCTGCTGAGGATTTGGAGGAACAAGGAAAAGTCAAATGACAGCCCCCCTTTTCGGTTTCTCTATTCTGTTAATACTCGAGTTGTCTGAGCCTGAGTCGCTGAGAAGGGAGGAGCCTTGCCCAGTCAGAAGAGGCTCAGCCTGGAAGAATCCGGAAGGAATGCCCAGGGGCTTGGAAGAAGCGGTGCAGCGCTCGGAAAGCCACTTGGAAATGACAAGCCAACCCCCCCCAAAAAAAAACTAATAGCCCCTTCTCCTTAGAGAGTTTCACCCTTCAGACCACCCACTTCCACTGAGCTAGTATGACAGCCATCAGCCCCTAAAGGTCAGCGACATTGAAGTCAACCTGGTCTCCCAAGTTCGCCATGGAACAAAGTGGGGATTGGACTGAGAGGTGATTGGGAACTAACTTTATAGCTCTCATCTGTTATCTCCCCCAAAT